AATATGTATATGGATTTTTTTTCAGATTCCACCTGATCTAATGCTAAATTATCTTTAAAAGCATGTTCTTTTTCAAATCACCTTTGACTTTTCTACGGTATGACTGTAACTGACCCTGAACAACTGCTATGTATATTTCGTATTAGTAACAGTGACATGGAAATCATTGTAAAATGTTGTACCTAAGAAAGTAAGATCAGATTTTATTATAATTCGATAAGAATTAATATCAGAACACACCGACTTCAATAGTTTACAAGTATCGTCCTCAAAACGTGTGATTTTGTGAATTTTTGATTGATAGGCGGTCAGCGTACGAAAAACAATATCATTATGAACATCAAAGAACATGTGATTTAACAAAGAAATGAGTATCTTGTATTTTGTTATAATAATGAATGACTTCTCGTCAATTACATTTATAGAATCGGACTTTCAGCGGAACCGATGTGATAAAAAATCACTAATGAATATGTTAGAGTGACATGAAAGATGCCAAGAAAAACAAGTTTAGAAACATTTCTTTGTTCAGTAATGAACTACACTTCCTCTTCAGATAAAGGCAAACTGCACAGTAATACAAAATGGATTTTTACACGATTACACACACGTAAAGAGTACCTGTTAATACAAATTGAAAATCAAGATACACTAGAGCCAAATTATGATCATTAGGCAGCATTATACAGCTGTTTCGTTCATCTAGGACTCGTCAGTCACGTTTAAGGTCATTTTTTTCAATTAGGAAGCGACCTGTGACTCTAATCACATCATTAAAACAATTTGCAAATACATATTCTAACGATACTTAAAAACTAGTCCGTCTTTGAGGTTGAAGCCAAAATACTATAGGTCATCTTTAATATTGATTGATAATTAATTTCAAATGCACTTCATCACTTCACCTCCTTTTTCAACACACTTTAAATGATTTTTTTTCTCTGCTGGAGATAGAATATTTGTTGTTGAGGATGTTTTTTCTGTTTTGGACAAGTTTGTGTTAAATTGAAAATTCATCAAATAGGTATCAAGTTATAATGAAACTTCTAGCGTAATTTTGAATGTTAAATTATTTAGAAGAGTAATTGTGTTTATAACTTGACATTTGAGTGAGTTTTACTGTTTACTATTCCGAATAAGGCCAGTATGGGGCCGCACAATGTCGCTAAGCAGACGTTGATTCCCGGCTCCTGTAATAGAAAATGTCAGCATTGTAGATGTGTTTTTGGTAATAAAGGGGGATAACGAGGCCTTGTCGCGTCGGTCATCATTAGAGACTAGTTTGTCAGGACTCTCAGTCATCAAGGCATTCGTGGTACCACACACATCCACAAATTATCTATGGCAGAATAATTCTGTCCTGAATGGTGTTCATCAGAAGAACTAATACATACAAACCTCTAATACACACGTGGAAGCTTTTAAAGTTATCGATCAGATCAAATACAAGAAATTAGACATATACAAACGCAATATGGCTATTTTGCAGTATGAGACATTTTCGTTCACTTACATCATTTTGGACAGGGGATTGTACAAAAGACAAAAAAGGTAAATAATACCTGTTAGTATCACCGTTAGATACAAACTGCAACACACGTCAGTAACGGTTGGGGTCATACCACCATCATACGTAATTCACCTGCTCCTTTATTCTTATCACGAGAAACGTCTTTTGGTCTTCGTTAGGTCATCAAGCTTGTCATAGGAAATACTCCGAGACTAGCAGGTACCGCACACATTTATGTTGTGGTATCGAAACTCATTTCCACAGTGCTGTTCTTTTGATTTGTATTTGTCCATCTACAGATGGCCGAAATGATAAGCCAATATACTATTATTTAAGAGATACACATTTGTTATGTGCTCTTCTTTCTTATTCTTCGAGACCCGAAAGGGGTAAATTGTCTCGACAACCTGACCGTTTCCGTTACCGCGGTCATTTTTCCGTCTTAACCATATGTCTAAGATTTCACGTCCATTAACCGGTAATTTGTTCGGATTTGGTGCCAATATTGATCCAAACACTCGGTATATATATATATTGTAAATACAATTAACGGTAAAAGACTTCCTAATGTTTTGGAAATCTGTAACTATTTAAGATGGAAAGACACTTTCGTGTTGCACGATAAAGACCGTTTAACAGACAAATAAAGTAAAATAAGACTGGAACCGCTTGAATAACAAATCGAAGGCACTTATCTCTGTTGGACTTTTATTCAATAACCATATTGAGCGGAAAATAAATTGTAATTTAGAGAAGGCAATTAGCCTTTATCCCTTTAAGAGTACAAGAGACGGTAGACGAATTACAAAGTGGCGCTTCTTTCGAGACATCTTGTTGCAATATTTACTGATATTTCTCAAATGAAATTTTAGCAAAACGCCTTGTAAGATTTGGGTTTGAAGCAAGCCTGTTTACAGGTAAGTTGATGTAAAGCTATTTTGAATATATGTATTGGTAATGCTCCAGTGGCATTGACTTTGTAGGCCACGCAGGAATCACAGGCAGTAAATGTGAACCAGGTCATTCATTATGACAAACTAATTAAAACTAAATTAGAACAATAATAGTGAAATAGACTCGTATGTGTTATTTCAATTTTGTGTTTATTTCAAATTGGAGCATTTTGAAAGACATATATTATGCATGTACTTATAGCCTTGTTTACAATTTTTCTGACGTTAAGCATGTCTTATAAATCAAAGGATTGTGACTCTACAAAACGTTTATGTTACTAGTATATGAAGACCCATGCAGACCTCTAATCATTTGGTAAGATGTTGTACTGTGTATAAAAGGGATCGCTTATGAAAGCGGAGATCTCAAACCAAAACAGTGTTAATCTCAGTGGCACTTACATCAAAGATAACCAACCATAATTATAAGTGGAAAAAACATCAGATAAGAAACATTCCTAACTATTGATAAACCTAAATCAATAGTCAAGTATGGTCAATTACTCAGTCTGGTCGTCTTCATCCCTCTCACGTTCTCACTACCGAACAGACGTGCCAGGGAAAAGACGTTATGTGGCTAAGTTCACATGAAGTATGTATGAATCTAGTGGTTTGAAGCTTCTTTAGTAAATTGTTCTCGGCATGAGACTATCAGCTGTTCCATGTAATGAGAGGGGTTGTTTATTTGTAATCCTTCGTCGGTCGAGTGCCTAATTGGTCCGATGCTTCTTCTAGTGTACACCACTTATTGGTCTAACATATCTGTTTTCAAATAATGTATGCTCGTAATTAATCATCGTCTGATTTCTCTGGCATAACTCTCTTCTCATGTCAAGGGCGCTTTTGATATATAGCAAACATTTATCGCATACACTCAGCATCGGAACAAGTGCTCCCTTAACGCGTCAAGAAACCATTAGTCTCGTTCTTTGCTCCTGTAGATGTGTACAATGTATTTCTCTGATTAAACGATACGTTGACAGATAAGTCAAGGTCTTTTTAACTGCCTGCTATTTGTGACGTCATTATGCCAACTCGTTCAAGCGTGCGTAACTAGGAATATTTGCTTGAAAATGGGCACGAAATATCTAGATTTTGTCGTTCCTTCTGTCATATCGGAATTTTCTCATCGCCTCCTAGATCTAAACAATTACGGCCCTTTGAATCATTGACGAGTCCTAGAAGGACAAAACAAATGTATGATGAATAATTCAATGTGTCTCTTTCTTCTTTTTAATACAATTTTAAGTCAATGAACACACATTTTTTTTAAAAAGTGTGATGAGTAATCAAAGCTAGTAATGGTTATCGAGAGTTTCTTAAAATCTCCTATGAAATGTATACAGATTTAAGATACTCTTTGTCACAAAACCTAGAAAAGTTACATTTTAACAGGTTTCAAAGTAAAACTGCGGAGGACAAAATTGCAAAACGGCAGGCATTGTGTTGCATTGTTTTTTTTTAAATATGACGTAACGTGATTTTCCGTCTTATAATATCACAATTGATTTCTGACAGACACAGTCAATGCAAAACGCCCCAGGATTCACACTAGTGACGGATGCGCGCAAAACATTACATGGACGAATTCACTGGATAACAGGCGGATTATGTAATCACTGCCAATTTATTTAGTTATCGGGTCAATACAACCGTTTCGTCTTCAGTCAGCAGCTTATGTTAGGGAATCTGAAAGCAAGTGAGAAAATCCCATTGGACCGAACAATAATTGAAATACAGACGAGGAAGTACACTCCTGCCTTATTTTTCAGTATATTTTCTTTTTGATATTGAAATATTTAATATAGAACATAGATATATATTTTCATTTTAAATGTTCAATATCAAACCTGGTATTTCAGTAGTTTTGGGGATTTTTTTCATTATTGAAAATATTTTATGAAGAACATAAAATGCATTTTTTTATTTTAAGTGTTTAATATCTGTATGAAATATCATTGATAAATATTCGTTTTTTCCGAAACGTTAAGCTATCCATATTTACGTAAGCAAGGACGGCGAGTCAAGGGGACTACTGTGTACCAGCGGAGTCTGTCAGAGGCTAATATATCGGATATGCCAGCGAAAACCACCTTGCATTTCAGCTTATGAACTGCCATTCCAAATTGAATTTCTTATACCATAATCAATATAGAAATACTTCTTAATCTGATTGTCAAGAGAATACGCTTTTACCCAAAAGACTGTTCGTCTAGAACACGTGCATGTTATGGACACATTACAGCTATATCTACAATGTGAGTGTTTCCACCCTTTTAGACACGCCGGGGAATGATATCTAGACAGAATAAAATAGACAAGCTGCATATTATTCGTCAAATTCTTGTCATACTGCAGTACAAACTGTTCGTTGTGCACAGACGACACAAAAAGAATTTCTGTCTTTACCAAATGGATACTTCATATGTGACATGATCTCTAATTTTTAAATGTTATTTTTCGTTATATGTTTCAGGAGATCCGAGGTATCGCAGACGCTGTCATTGCCATCGATTCTATCACAGTCAACTGTCACCATGGATACGAAGCTATCGAATTCAAGCAACGCGTCGTATGAGTATGATAACTTCGAGTACTGTTACGACGATGACAACACATCCTCTGTTGCCAATGTGACGATGGGCATGCCCACCTCCATTTCCAGCATGACTGTTATACTAGTGATTTCATACTCTTTAATATGTTTTATAGGTCTCATTGGAAATGGATTGGTGATCTATGTTGTGCTCCGATTTGCTAAAATGAAGACAGTCACGAACCTGTACATCCTTAATTTGGCCATATCTGATGCTTTCTTCCTGATGAGTTTACCGTTTTTGATAACAACTTCTATTTTACAATATTGGCCATTCGGAGCAGCCATGTGTAAAATATTCTTCGTACTGGTATCCATTAACCTCTTCACAGGAATCTTCACACTGACCGCTCTGAGTGGTGACCGTTACCTGGCCGTCTGTCATCCTGTGCGGTCAAGTCAATACCGCACCACAAATATTGCGTTCTTCGTGTGCCTATGTCTCTGGTCAATTTCTTTCCTGGTAATGTTACCCATAATTCTCTACTCAACGACAGTTAAACAAATGGGCGATTCTTCACACGAGACCTGCACTATCGTCTGGCCTCCCGGACAACTGATACCAGCTAGCAAGGCATTTACCTGGTACACCTTCCTGCTCGGATTTGCCATTCCAGTGTCGATGATCTCTGCTCTTTATCTATCCGTTATCCTCCGCCTACGTACTGTGGGTCCGGTCATCAAATCCAAGGAAAAGAAGCGATCCCATAGGAAAGTGACCAGGATGGTGCTTACCGTGATCTTTGTGTATATCATTTGTTGGCTCCCTTATTGGGTATTCCAGGTTAACCTTACTTTCATGAAATCTGGATTCGTCCTAACAGAATGGCGTGTGTATTTGTTTAGTTTTTTCACTGTCCTTACAAACGCGAATAGTATGCTCAACCCTGTATTGTATGCTTTCCTGAGCGACAACTTTCGTCGCAGTTTCGCGAAAGCATTTAAATGTCTCGGTCGTGCTGATATGGACCGTAGCATATATACCAGGGAAAGTAGCTTCCCTGCCAAAAGTAAACAATGGCGAAACGACTCGTGCAAAACACCAAAGGCTGATAAGTATGAAATGGCTACCATGCTAACAAGTGCTGAAAACACTCAACCAAACGCTAAATCGGGTAGCAAGGGATCCATTAATGACGAGAGTAACTTATATGTAGACAAAGAGAGTCAGACCCAATGACTCGGTAAGGCGGCGATCGCGTGGTGATATACATAGACAAAGAGAGATACATTGAAAGTTGTACAAACACGTTATTTAAGTGCGAGCCGTGAAGAACCAGACAGTCTGTTGGCTGATTTTTATCTTTCTTTTATTTTTCCCCGCGATTGATGCCTCCAAACGTGTGGGCTATTATTATTTGATCCAGTATTGTATGTTACTTGAAATATCTATACGTTAATTGTCCACTTTGATAGGACAATAATGGTTGATTATACTGTCTTTCAGTTGATCTAGGAGCAGACATTATTGTCAGGTCTGAATCGAGTGGCTGTTTGACAACAGCGCATAATACAGGCGTACGTCATTGATGTTCCCATCACCTGTAACACAGTATCACATGTATTCAACAGAATACATGAACCGTAATGGGCCGAATTTATATCATAACTTGTGTAATTTTACCTGTATACCTAAGCCGATCGTATTTAAATGAACTGTGACATTTGAAACATACCTAAGAAAACAGACGTGAAAATAGCTCGCCTGTCGTATACCATGTGTGACAGTTTTTCTTTGTAGAAGTGAATCCTCGTACTTAAAACCATATGATACATTGTATGTTACTTTAAATGGTTTATTGTCCCACGTTGATTACGCCAACATGAATGATACGTAATCTCATTGTTTATTGTATCTATACGCATGTTGACATTCATTGTTGGTGCTGTTGTAAAATACCATGTAAATATATAATAACATTTAAATATGAAATTAACACATTCTTTGAAAATAGGAAAAATATGAAAGAGTCGATTAGCTCGGAAAATATTGAGATAAACATGTCGGTACGGCATAAAGACATCCATAGTCGCTGAATAATGGTATGCTTATTGTCTAAATATACGTATGTATATACTGTAGAGGGGTGTATAGCATCGCTAAGGCTGGATTTCATATTAACTGTATACTTTAAAAGTCCTAGTCTTAAATATAATTCAAAAGTGGGGTTGTAATACTTGTTCAAAACGAGTACATGTAAGAGAAAAAAAATCTGACTTTTCCCGAGAATTAAATGGTTTTGGCGATTCGAACAATCAAATATCGTCACTGTTGCGAGGTTACTAATACCGGTAAACTTAATTACAGGTAAATTGTACAAGATCATCCAGCACAATTTTTTTTATTGGTTTAATTTGTAAAGATATTCTATTCCTATTCAGAACAACTACTGTATTATAAATGTGATGAAAATGTTTATATTTAATATGACCCTATCATGAAACAATGTATTACTTGTATGTTTGTGTCGTGTCTTTACTTCTGAAATTGAACTCTTGTTTGTCGTTCATTCAACCTCATCATAATTGTGTTTAATTGTGTATATGGTATATATTTGAAAAATGAATTATGAGTTGTTAATATTTTACTCATGAGTTTATTTTCTGAATGTTTCTAGAACGTACTAGACTGGTTAAATGTTTATGTTGTTTCTGTAATAAATTGTTGTTATACATATTTAGCTTGACTCAGTGTTTGTAATGTTTCATTTAAATGTGAAATCAAATCCACCACCACCACCAACACCACACACCACAATACAAAACAATAAACTACATTAATAGGTAGAAAATACATAATAGTACAACACTCTACACTACATTACTGTACAACACAATACACTACATTACTACACAACGCACTAAAATACACTACATTAATGTACAACACACTACACTACATTACTGTACAACACACTACACTACAGTACTGTACAACACAATACACTACAGTACTGTACAACACACTACACTACATTACTGCACAAAAAACTACACTACAGTACTGTACCACACAATACACTACAATACTGTACAACACACTACACTACATTACTGCACAACACACTACACTACATTACTGTGCAACACACTACACTACAGTACTGTAGAACACAATACACTACAGTACTGCACAACACACTACACTACAGTACTCTACAACACAATACACAATATTACTGTACATCACACTACACTATATTACTGAACAACACTCTACACTACATAACTGTACAACACACTACACTACATTACTGCACAACACACTACACACTGTACAACACACTACACTACAGTACTGTACAACACACTACACTACATTACTGCACAACACACTACACACTGTACAACACACTACACTACATTACTGTGTAACACACTACACTTCATTACTGTACAACACACTACACTACATTACTGTACAACACACTACACTACATTATTGTACAACACACTACACTACAGTACTGTACAACACACTACACTAAATTACTGTACAACACTGCACTACAAATATTTCACGAACAACAAAGTACAATACAATACAGTACAACATACTACAGTTCACTACTCTAACACATTACTGATGGTGTGGAAAAGTAATTGCCCCCTGCGATCTAAGATTCTCACCATGTAAATCTATGTTACTGAAAGTAAATATTTCAAAGCTCGAACGTTACAGCAGCCAGACATCCTAACAAGTGTCGACGACAACATCGTCATATTGTAAAATATCACAATTTCCCAAACATATCATGACATCAGCCATAAAAAATTCCTATAGTATTTATCCACTTTTCTCGAGTAATAGCTTGCACGTAAGTTATTTCCTGTCTAACTGTCAACATCTATCACAGAAAAAGCGACCATCTATCACGACGATGGTGATAGTGAGGAAAAGTCCGGGAACTTCTGGAACCAACCTCAACATGTAATTACCCTAGGATGTGGAACTAGAAGTGTTATTTGCTGGAAATGAACTATCCACAATTAGGAAATTAGAATACAAAGCCTATCGGACAGCTTCTCTTCATTTTTATTTAGGAACCATATTTTTAGGGTACGTTTTAAGACCGACACAAGACAACTAATTAAGATACGACTTGCTTTTAATTTCCAAGTGGCAATGGTCGATGTATTTTCTGTTGTCTAAAGGCATCATATATTAAAGTATTTGTCAAAGTCTTAATTATTTATCTTTATAGGAAATACGTTGGGTAAGAGAGAGAAGGGAACAGTTCGTTGCTATGGACATACACACAACCATCAAATCCATTAAAGGCTCAACACGTTTAAAGACAAAAATAAAACAAACTCGCGATATAGGATATTTCAGTCTCACCTTATTCTCAACACCATATGATCTATTATATATATATATATATATATATATATATAAACATTAAGCGCGATCGCCATCTCTTGAAAAGAAAACCTGCATAAAGGTAATGAGTGCGTGACCTTGAATTCAGAATTGATAGCCTTCTAAGTAACACCTAAAGAAGCCTACAACTAGGTCTAACAGCCAGCAATCTTACTTCACACAAAAAACACAAATGTATACCATATTTGTATACAAAGTTTACAGCAGATAAAATATATAATAAAAATGAATATAACTGCATCACAGATTTACTTGGTCCTTAGATCAAGATGTTCTATGTAACTTGTACGCATGAATTCGAACAGTGCCACGGTTCAGAACATACACAGACACTTTTGAAATTATCTGATATTGACAACTATACATTTATTGAGTTGTAGGGTTAATACACCTCCTTCTGTAGTCTTTGACATGTATTTCGAGTCTTTCCAACTCGCCTCCTATTCGTCAACAATATGCGCTCTTAGCAACGCTAACGAGCCTTGTAAGGAGGAAATAGCCATATGCTTAATTATACAATGCATTGGAAGGTTTTACGTGTGTGACTTCAATGCAATGTTTCAGAATACTTCAATAATGTTTCCTGTCGAAAGGTGTGAAAATCAACAGAAGGGAATGTAGAATGATGAAAATTGATTGAAACAAACGCTTTAAAACACTTAAGACTTACAGTTTCCTGGTAGCTATCATGATTGCCATTGTCACCAAAATACGTGTACTAATGGCCTAACTGTAAATTAATGTGTGTGTGTGTTTTTTTTTTTTTTTTTTTAGACACGCACCAGAATGGCCTCAGTGAGATCTTAATTAGTTGTTATGGAAGACACCAAACTTTTTAACGTAGTCGACAAATTTTTGCAAATGTTTACCGCTTCGATCAGACATTTGATGTTTTTCTTATTCAAAGTTGGCATGCTGGCTGCTGGTAAACACAATCACGCAAATGTCTTCATCACTATAAATAGTCTTTGTTGTGATATGCAGTGAGGCTGGTCGTCGCGATTCGATGAATGTGTTATATTACTGTAATTCAGGTGCAATTATGTGTCATTCATTACCTTCAAATTCGTTAAAAAATGTCTATCACTCAGACAGTCAAATCTTAATTATGACAGGCGTAAAATCCGAAAATCAAGTTTGAAATGAACAAGGTGGTGGCGATAAGCCGTTTTTCGCAACACATTTTGCTTGTCATTGCCTGGATTGCAGTATGTATCGGAAACCCAATGACGTGGATGATTACTTTGTACACGTTACTAAGGAATAAAGACTTCGTGCGCAGCACATACTTTCCTCTTTCTCATAACAGTGTACAAAACCTGCAAAAGCTGCCACCAAATTTCATAAGGAAATTGAATGTTTGTTAAAGGTACAATTATACACCATGGATTTCTTACTCGTAGATCAAAGTACAGATATAGACTCAAGATTGGTATTAAGTTTTTATTCCGTGATTCTTTACGGATGAGCTTTGACAGCTTACTGTTACCCGAAAGTGAATCCAATACTTTTTTACGTGTTTTCAGAATGTCGTGCGCTGTCTTCTCAAGTCAACTGCTAAGATAACATTCATTGTTTAAAAATGTCATTTTATACTTTGCATCTTTCCTTAAAAATAAGCTAATTTTGGTAGTTGTAGTGTTGGCTTCAAAGGCTCAACGACAACATAGGGAAAGCTACGGACATGTGTGAATCGAAATTATAGTGGCATGGTATTTCTTGTCAAGCGCATTGGTCGAAGTATCAGAGTGAACAGAAACTCATTAAGATCATCATTCCATCACTCAGGTTTTTAC